CAGGGCTTGTGTATTGCCTTGCTCGGCCTTTGTGGCCTCCTTTTCTCCCTGCACAAGGGAATTTGCATTTTAGGAAGGAAGACAGTCCTTAACTACTCAGAACACCCACCCTGTCCTTCTTCAGGGCTTGGTACTATATAGAGCTTAAATTTCTTTCTTTTTTAAACTGACATTTGTTTTACTGATTTCAATAGTATGTTTTGTTTTCACATCACCTATATTTCCTCTCTGTGTCCTGTCACTTTCTCCCAAAGATCTATTATTATGGTAAAGAATTTTAAAAAGGAAGCAAAAAATTCAGCTAATCAGTATTATCAAAAAAGTCTTGACATATGTGGTGTTTCCACTCTTGGTCCCCCATATCTACAAAAGTGTGAGTATAGCAGGGGAAGGAGAAAGAGCTGTCTCATTTCTCTTAAAAGTATGGAAGCTAAAAGCTCTGGAAAACTGAGTTGGATGACAAAGAAAAATCCATAAAACTAATAACTCCCTCCAAATACTCAGAGGACAAACCCAGCAGTTTGTTAAAAAGGAGGTGATAGTAGTGTGAGACTCTTGACATAACCACTGACCTCCCTGGATGATTAGCACTTATATGAATGAGGCAGAGATATTGTTCATCTTAGGAGGCATAGAGTCCAAACTCTCTGGTAAGTTCACAGATTCAAAGATTTAGAGCTGGAAGGGACCCCAGAGGTCATTTAGTCCAGCCCCCTCATTTCATAAATGAGGACAATCACACACAGAGAGGTTAAGTGAGTTGCCCAGAGTGACACAGCTATTAAGGATCTGAGGTGGGATTTGATCTTAGGTATTCATGTAAGTCCAATGCCCTATCCACTATAGCACACTCCCTCTAAGTTATTCAGGGAAACAGTCATCTGAGTACAACCACTGGAATTTCTATTTATTCTTTTCTAAAAATGACTAGGAAATGGATATGTGATCTAAGCATTAAAGGTTATATATCAGAAATAAGAAGAGAGCCAGGCCAGTTGTTTTTCATAGCTATGTGTAAGTAGGGGGAGAAGAACCAAATAAGGATTAGAGGTGATAACCAAAGATAAAATAGATCATTCTGATTACATGAAATTACAAGTTTTTGGCATGAACAAAATAGATGCAACCAGGATTAAGCAGAGAAACTGTTGATGGGGGAAAAAAATCTTTGCATCAAGTATCTCTGATATGGGTTTAACCTATCGGAATTAATGCAAATCTATATGACCAAGAGTCATCCCTCAGTGGATAAGAAGATAAACAGTTCTCTAAAGAATTGCAAACTATTAATAATCATATGACAGATTGTTCTGAATCATTAAGAAACATGTGAATCAAAACAACTCTTAGGTTTACATTTAGCAAACTGACAAAATGGTAATGGTTTATGTTGGAGAGGCTATGGAAAGGTATCTACGCTATATGCTACTTGCATTGTGAAGAAGTTTAAGCATTTTGAAATCATGCCAAGAAAGTGATTAAAAAAGTTCATATCCTTTTTACCCAAAGATCCCACTGTTAGAAACATAGTCCAAGGAGGTCAAAATTATACAGGCTTCCACATACACCAAAATAGTCACAGCAGCAAACTTTTTGTAATAGCAAAAAATGTAAACAAAGTAGATGCCCATTGACTAGGTATGCGAATATAAAAGAATTTTCATATGAATACAAAAAATGGGAAATCAGATTTGTGATTTCACGGGTGCAGGGAGGTTCCCTGTGAGAACCTTCCTCTCTCTCCAGGCAGACCAACAGCTTCAAGTTTTACAAAAGAGACGAGGCACACAGAGGAGAAGGTGACAGATTCTGTGTGTGTGCCAGATGTAGGGCTTGAACCCAGGTCTTCCTTCTCATTCTGAGGCCAGCTCTCAAAAAACTATACTAGGCTGTGTGAAATGATGCAAAGAAAAATAAGCAGAATCAAGAAAACAACACACAAAAATTTTAAGAATGTGAATGGAAAGAACCACCAAAGCAATCTGAACCAAACAACATGTGGAATATCATACATAGTGGCAAATAAGTTGAAATGTTCATTAATTTTGATGAGTCTATCTCTCAATGCCTAGAGGAGCTCTGATTTCATGTAAAAAGAAAAAAACACATCAGATTGTTTCTTTAATGTCAAAAGAAGAAATAACTCCCCAAATGATAACAAAACAGAGCCTCTGGATTTCCTATACTCATTAAACAATACTAAAAAAAATACTTCCAGGTTGAAAGGGAATAAAGCATAAGGAGGAAAACAGATGAAAAAGTCTTTTAGAAGTCTTTAAAAATGAGATGCTTTTGGGCAAACTAGAGGTTTAAACTTCAACTTGATAAAAGTCTAAGAATTAAAAACTGGTTGACAATTCAAGCATGCCTAATTAGTTTTATTGTCTAACAATTGCTCAAGCTAACACACTGGTATGTCATTTCTATAAAAGGAAAACAGGTGACAAGCATCATATTTTACTACCGCTAGGATGGAAGTGTTTGCTTTGATCCTTAGATGAATTTTCACCCACCTAACCTGGGGCCCACCTAATTTTCGGTGAGTATTTTACCACAAAACATAGTCTCTTTAATTAAGCACAGTATTGTTTCCACGATCCACTTACTGAGCCAGGTGGGAACTCAAGTTAAAGTCCCAAAGCTGCTTCCTTTTCCCTAGATTTCCTAGACAGCAGGTGCTGTGCTATAATTGCGCCACTATGGAACCACCACTCATTTTTAATGACTACTTGAATTTCAAGTGCAGCACGACGAGGTTCTAATTCTTCCTTTAAATGAAGGCAATAGCAACAATTCACAAAACTGATTTCTAGAGTCTAATCTTAAAAGATATGATGTATTACAATTAACCTTTGATTCACTTTTAGTTTCTTAAAAAAATCTACCTAACATACCATATTATGAGGCCATCTGATGCCTAATTCTCAAGTGCCTTAGTGTTCTTAACCCCTCACGTTGACACATGTAAACAATGCATGAGTTCACAAATCTACTAGCAAACATTTTTAAGCTCCTCACAGAGAAAGTTTGAAGTTATCTGGTGGTTTGATTTTAAGCTCTCCTAATTTTAACTTCCAACCTCAACCAAAACTTAGTATAAAGCAGAGGTGAACAAATGATTTAAATAAAAGACCCAGCTTTTGCACCTTTAGAAGTAGAGAACCAGGAGGTCTTCGGTGTCCATGAAGTATAAATGAGTTCAGAGAAAACGAGGTATAATTAATTCTAGCTACAACAGCATTTAGATTTTTCACAGAAGCCGTTAGCCTAAACAAGACAAAAAGAAGCATGACATGGATGTGTCATGCAGTGAAAGATCAGGAAACCAGGGCTGGAATTATCTGCTACTAACCATGTGCCCTTGGGCAAATCACTTAAAACTTCTCTGGGTCTCAGTTTGATAATCTATAAAATGAGGAAACTGAAATGGTCCTGAAGGAACTTTCTACCAATCCAGGAAGATTCGGTCTTCTCCCAGGCCTAGGAACACCCAGCAAGGCTGGAAAGGAGGCATTATTAATTATGGCTTTCATTACTAGGTTCCAAACAGCTCAAAGAATGCTCATGACTCACATCTGTTCCTAAAGGGTCATAAAGCGTTTCCAGCCCAAAGGTGGAGATTTTTTTCTTTTAAAGAAATTCTCTTCGTATTTCTTTTGAAGATCAGAAAATAGGAAAATAGTTTACCCCCTCCTTTTTATCAGTCTCAAAAGATCTCCTGGTTCCTTCTAGGCTTAGAAACTAAGAAACCAGTTCCCTATACTATATCATACTCAATAGGTCTTCGGTTACGTCCCGCAATCATCTATGTGCTCTGAATTCGGGAAAACCTTTAAAGAGTAGAGAACAAAGTCTTAATTCTCAAAACGTGTGTGTGTGTGTGTGTGTGTCTCTCTCTCTCTCTCTGCCCCCAATGCCTCTCTCCACGTAGACTGCAGACCATACCTACGTGCTAAACAGGAATTACGAGCCCAGACACCCAAGCCGCGCCCCTAAACTCCCGCACCCCCTCTCCTCCTCATCCATTCACTCCCCCCTCCCACCTACTCCCAGAGGCAGAAGAGACCACACCTCCCCGCAGCCTCGGGGGCCGAAACTGCCTGTCCGGCCCCTCGGGTCCCCAGCCCAGCCGGGAAGCCCTGTTCGCTCCGAGGGGGCAGCGGGGCCTGGGCAGGGCCCCCCGTGCCCCAACACAGGCACCGGGCTGGTTCCTTCGAGGCCCCGGTCCCCCGAGCTGGGCGCCGGGCGGGAAGATGGACCGCGGCCGGGGTTGGGGCTGGGGCCCGGGCCGAGGTGGAGTCCGGGCCCCGGGGCCGACGCTGTCTCCCTCCCCGCCTCCCTCCCGGGCCCCGCGCGCGCCTCTCACCTCCTTTGGGCATCGCGGCTCCAGCAGCTGCTGTAGGAACTCGAACTGACGCAGGAACCGGAACTCGCCTCTCTCTTTCCTTCCTCCCCCCTCCCCCCCACCCTCCCTACCTTAGGCCCCTCTCTCTCAGTCTGTCACTAGACTACCCCGGAGTCGAAAGAAGGAACCCTCCGCGGGCTCAAGCCGTGCTCTCGTGCCGCCGCCGCCGCCGCCTCCGCCACAGCCACGAGGACCCGGAATCCCTTCTCCCAGGCGCAAGAGCTCGAGAGGCGGCTGTCCCAGGCGCCTGCCGGAATCCGGGTGCCGCCAGCGCCCCTCTCACGGGCACTCCCCAACACCGGAGCCCAAGTAGGCCGCCAGCTCCACGCCCCAGAGAAGGTCAGACTCCCCCATTAAAGAGGTCAACCCGGCCCTCGGGACCAGGGAAGTAGAATTCTCCGCAGGCAATACTGTGGACGACCAAACTGACGCAATACCTTTGCAAGGCCTTCGCCCGTGGCGGGAGGGTGACGTCATATCACAAGGGCCGGGAGGCCCTAGTCGGTGACGTATTAAGCAGGCGAAGAGCCTCGGGGCGGAGCGGTGGGACGGAAACGGAAGGCGGACTGGTGGTGGCCGGAGCAGTCGGTAGGTTTTGTCCCCGTGGTTTCCTTGGCAATGGTCGCTAGCTCCTCTTACCTCCTCTTGGGTCCCAGAGAGACTTTGTGGTCACCCTTCCCTTCGGACTGAGAGGAGTCCGTGAGGGGAGAAGAGGCTTTTCTGCCTCTCCCCTTGGAGCCTAGTGAAGAGACCACCCCTTTCCCCACGCCCACCCGGAGGCTGGCTCCGGAGGGAGGTGGAGAGCGGCCTGCCTTCCAGTGCCCGAGGATCCAGGCTACCGTTCCCGGTGCTGGAGTTGTGTGGTGGGTGGTCGAGGGAGGAGGAGTTGTCCGCGGCAAAGTAGAAAGGGTCAGACGCGGAGTCCAGGAGACTTGGGTTCTCGGCGTGGGACACCGCGGCAAGTCCCCTCGCTTTTCCGAGCCTCCTCTCTTCGACATTACTTGCCTTGCTGTACTTAAAGGATTGCTTCTAGAATCAGATTCAATTCCGTAAACACTTGTTTTCGGATCCTCGTGCAGAACACGGGGGCTGGGCGCTGGGATGTGATGGGAGGGGGGGTGGTGTGCGGAATCTTCAGGATAGCTGAACGATAAGATGCAAACATGAGAGTTACACAAGTGTGTTACACGGCTTTCTGTGCACCAGTGCTTGAGGGAGATGTTCCAAAGGGAAAGCCCTCATTGGTTCAAGGTTATTGTAAACTTTATTGTCATAGGCGGCAGTTCACTTGCGGGGACTGGAGGCTGAGAGAGTCCTATTACATATAAGTGATCGTTTCCCTTCATAGACTTCCTCAGGCCCTGGAAGGGACCTTAGAGGTAATGAAGTCCAAACTCTTCATTTTACAGTTGAGGCCTGGGGAGGTTTAATTAACTTGCTTAAGGTAACATAGTAAGAGAATTTGAATTCAGGTCTTTTGAATCCAGAGCTAGTGTTCTTAGTACCATGCATTAGTTGTCCAAATGCTCTGCACTCTCTAAGTGATAGTCAGAATTTATGTTTGGCTTGTGTGAGGCCCACTTTTACACGTCTTTTACACGTCAGTCTGGGTGATATTTTTGCTTGCATAGCCAAGCCTATCCTTTGTGGAACTGAGTATCAGGAATCAATTTGTTTAACTTATTTTTGATATTATTTTGTGTTGTTTTGTAGAAGATGCCCAAAGTAAAAAGAAGCAGGAAAGCTCCCCCAGATGGCTGGGAGCTAATTGAACCAACGTTGGATGAATTGGATCAGAAGATGAGAGAAGGTGAAGAGAGCCAGCTTTCAGTTTCTATATTAGACTGTGATCTGAGTGAATAATCACTTGTTTTAGACATAGCTCTTGAATATTCCATCTAAATTACAGCACTTCATTACAATGACGGCACAAACCCACGTCCATTCTTTGCTTTAATATTTTTGGACACCCATGTGTGACATATGGAACGATTACTGAATTTGGAGCCAGAGAACTTGAATTTTAATCCTACCTGTACTACTTAATGTCTGTGGTAACAAGTCAACAAGCATTTATTAAGCACTTACTGTGTGTTGTTCTAAACACTGGGGATGCAGTTAGAAATCTTTGTCCTGAAGGAATTTACATTTTAATGGAGGGTAGGGATAGAATAGGTAGGTACCTAGTGGAGTGGTGGCAAAGGAGGAATGGTGGCTAAGTCTGACTCCCTTCTCCAAGATGGAGGTCTTGGGAAGAACTTACCAATGGAAGTGTGATGTAAGGAAGTTGTTTAATCTTTTATTCTCTGGAAAACGAGGGAGTCATACTAGACCGGGGTGGGGAACCTGTGACCTGAGGTCACTTGTGGCCTTCTAGGTCCTCAGGTTCAGCCCTTTGACTGAATCCAAACTTAACAGAACAGATCTCCTTGCAGGGAAGTTTGACTGTGAAGTTGAGACTGCAGGTTCCCCAGCCTCGTACTAGACAATCTCTAAAATCCTTTCTGATTCTAAAAATCTATGACTCTTTAGTCTTTTATATAATTATATAACAAGGACTAATCATGAGGGGGTTTGACTTGAAGAACCAAGAGACAACATGTTCTTGATTTAGGAAATTAAGTTCCTTAATGGAGCACATATATGTAGAATCTTATTTGAGAAGACTGACAAAGTGTATTAGAATTGTTTCCTTACCTAGACCTTTGTTTAAATGGAAATTTAAAAAAACAAACCACTGTAGCTTATAGTCTATATACTTTTTTTTTTGGCTAGGTGATGGGGTTAAGTGGCTTGTCCAGGGTCACACAGCTAGTAAGTGTCAAGTGTCTGGTCTGAGATTGGATTTGAACTCAGGTCCTCCTGACTCCAAGGCCAGTGCTCTATCCACTTTGCCACCTAGCTGTCCCCGCTATGATTTACATACTTTCAAATTTTGGTCTGCTCCTGTTATCCTAAGTCAGCATCTCCTGTTTTCATTTTTCTTTGCTAATCATATTGTCTCTGTTAATCTATGTTCTTATTATAGTGATTCCTACCTGGATAGGAACTTGTTGAACATATCTGTCATGGGACTTTTTTGTGTGTTTATGAAATGATGAGTATATTACAGTCTTGCACATAACAAGTGCTCTATAAATATTTTGTTGCATGAATGTTACTAGAGACTGTTTTGTGGGACATAAAAATAACCTTGGTGTGCTTTTAGGATACTTTGAGATATGCCCAGCAGCCTTAACATGAACCTCTACAATTATTCATTGTAGAGGTTCATGTTAAGGTTGCTGGGCATATCCAAAAAAATTTTTTTTCTAAATTTTATTAATTTATTTTGATTTATCAACAATCACTTCCATATTCTTTTGAGTTGAAAATTTTTCTCCCCCTTCCTTCCCCCCCCACCTTCCCCAAGATGGCACAAGATATAGGCTTTACATTTACATTCCTATTAAACATATTTTCACATTAGTGAAGTTGTAAGTAAAAATTAAAACCAATAGGAGGAACCATCAGAAAGATGAAACAAAGCTCAACAGAAGGTAAAAATAAGTGATAGCATTCACTTCCATAGTTCTTTCTTTGGTTGTGGACAGCATTTTCCATCCCGAGGCCTCTGGAGATGTCTTAGATCCTTGTAATGCTGAGAAGGGTTCAGTTTAACAATATTAGTCATCGCATGATGTGGCTGTTATTGTGTACAAAGTCCTCTTGGTTCTTCTCACTTCACTCAGCATCAGACCATATAAGTCTTTCCAGGTTTTTCTGAAGTCAGCCTGTTCATTTTCTTATAGCACAATAGTATTCCATTACATTCATATACCACAACTTGCTCAGCCATTCCCCAATTGATGGGCATCCTCTCAATTTCCAATTCTTTGCCACCACAAAAAGAGCTGCTATGAATATTTTTGTACATGTGGGTCCTTTTCCCATTTGTTTGATCTCTTTGGGATATAGCCCTAGAAGTGCTATTGCTGGATCAAAGGGTATGCACATTTTTGTAGCCCTTTGGGCATAGTTCCAAATTGTTCTCCAAAATGGTTGGATCATTTCACAACTCCACCAACAATGTATTAGTTCCAATTTTCCCACATCTTCTCCAACATTTATCATTTTCCTGTTTTGTCATGTTGGCCAATCTGATAGGTGTGATGTGGTACCTCAGAGTTGTTTTGATTTGCATTTCTCTAATCAATAATGATTTAGAGCATTTTTTCATATGACTATAGATGGCTTTAATTTCTTCATCTGAGAACTGTCTGTTCATATCCTTTGACCATTTATCAATTGGGGAATGGCTTGTGTTCTTATAAATTTGTCTTAATTCTCTATATATTTTAGAAATGAGGCCTTTATCAGAGAGACTGGTTGTAAAAATTCTTTCCCAATTTTCTACCTTCCTTCTAATCTTAGTTGCATTGGCTTTGTTTGTGCAAAAACTTTTCAATTTAATGTAATCAAAATTATCCATTTTGCTTTTCATAATGTTCTCTATCTCCTGTTTGGTCATGAATTCTTCTGTTCTCCATAGATCTGATAGGTAAACTATTCCTTGTTCTCCCAGTTTACTTATGGTATCAGCCTTTATATCTAAGTCATGAACCCATTTTGACTTTATTTTGGTATATGGTGTGAGATTTGGGTCTATGCCTAGTTTCTGCCATACTCTTTTCCAGTTTTCCCAGCAGTTTTTTTCAAAGAGTGGGTTCTTATCCCAGAAGCTGGGGTCTTTGGGTTTATCAAATAATAGATTACTATAGTCATTGACTACTGTGTCTTGCATATTTAACCTATTCCACTGATCCACCTCCCTATTTCTTAGCCAGTACCAAGCAGTTTTGATGATTGCTGCTTTATAATACAATTTAAGATCTGGAATTGCTAGGCCACCTTCCCCTGCATTTCTTTTCATTAGTTCCTTTGATATTCTGGACCTTTTGTTTTTCCAAATGAATCTTATTTTTTCTAACTCTATAAAATAATTTTTGGTAGTTTGATTGGTATGGCACTGAATAAGTAAATTAGCTTAGATAGGATTGTCATTTTTATTATATTAGCTCGGCTAATGTTTTTTCCAATTATTTAGATCTGATTTTATTTGTGTGAAAAGTATTTTGTAATTGTGTTCAATACAGTTCCTGGGTTGTTTCGGGAGGTAGACTCCTAAATATTTTATAATGTCTACAGTAAGTTTAAATGGGATTTCTCTTTCTATCTCTTGCTGTTGGGCTTTGTTGGTAATATATAGAAATGCTGATGATTTATGTGGGTTTATTTTATAGCCTGCAACTTTGCTAAAGTTGTTTATTATTTCAAGTAGTTTTTTACTTGATTCTCTAGGATTCTCTCAGTATATCATCATGTCATCTGCAAAGAGTGATAACTTTGTTTCTTCTTTGCCTATTCTAATGCCTTCAATTTCTTTTTCTTCTCTTATTGCTAAAGCTAAGTTTCCAGTACAATATTGAATAACAGTGGTGATAATGGACATCCTTGTTTCACCCCGATCTTATTGGAAATGCTTCTAGCCTGTCCCCATTACATATAATGCTTGCTGAAGGTTTTAGATATATGCTATTTATTATTTTAAGGAAGACTCCATTTATACCTATGCTTTCTAGTGTTTTTAATAGGAATGGGTGTTGTATTTTATCAAAAGCTTTTTCTGCATCTATTGAGATGATCATGTGGTTTCTGTTGGTTTTGGTGTTGATATGCTCAATGATGCTGATAGTTTTCCTAATATTGAACCAACCCTGCATTCCTGGTATAAATCCTACCTGGTCATAGTGTATTATTCTTGTGATAAGTTGCTGCAATCTATTTGCTAGTATTTTGTTTAAAATTTTTGCATCTATATTCATTAGAGAAATTGGTCTATAATTTTCTTTCTCTATTTTGACTCTTCCTGGTTTAGGTATCAACACCATATTTGTATCATAAAAAGAATTTGGTAAGACTCCTTCTTCACCTATTTTCCCAAATAGTCTATATAGTATTGGAATTAATTGTTCTTTAAATGTTTGATAGAATTCGCATGTAAATCCATCTGGCCCTGGAGATTTTTTCCTAGGGAGTTCATCAATGGCTTGTTCAATTTCTTTTTCTGAGATGGGGTTATTTAAGTATTTTACTTCCTCTTCGTTAATCTGGGCAATTTATATTTTTGTAAATATGTATCCATTTCACTAAGATTGTCAAATTTGTTGGCATATAGTTGGGCAAAATAATTCCTAATTATTGTTTTAATTTCCTCTTCCTTGGTGGTAGCTTACCCTTTTCATTCTTGATACTAGTAATTTGGTTTTCTTCTTTCTTTTTTTAAATTAAATTAACCAAAGGTTTATCTATTTTATTGGTTTTTTCATAAAACCAGCTCTTAGTTTTATTTATTAGTTCAATAGTTTTCTTAATTTCAATTTTATTAATTTTTCCTTTGGTTTTCAATATTTCTAATTTGGTGTTTAGTTGAGGATTTTTAATTTGTTCTTTTTCTAGTTTTTTTAGTTGTATGCCCAATTCATTAATCTCCTCTTTTTCTATTTTATTTATGTAAGCATTTAGAGATATAAAACTTCCCCTAAGAACTGCTTTCGCTGCATCCCATAAGTTTTGGGATGTTGTCTCATTATTGTCATTCTCTTGAATGAAATTATTGATTGTTTCTATGATTTGTTGTTTGACCCAATCATTTTTTAGGATTAGATTATTTAGTTTCCAATTATTTTTTAGTCTATCTTTCCATGGCCCTTTATTACATATAATTTTTATTGCATCATGATCTGAAAAGGATGCATTTAATATTTCTGCCTTTCTGCATTGGATTGTGAGGTTTTTATGCCCTAGTACATGGTCAGTTTTTTACTGCCAAGAAAAAAGTATATTCCTTTCTATCCCCATTCAGTTTTCTCCAGAGGTCTATCATACCTAACTTTTCTAATGTTCTGTTCACCTCCTTAACTTCTTTGTTTATTTTGTGTTAGATTTCTAGTGCAGAGAGGGGAGGTTCAGGTCCCCCACTAGTATAGTTTTGCTGTCTATTTCTTCCTGTAACTCCCTGAACTTCTCTAAGAATTTGGATGCTATACCATTTGGTGCATATATGTTTAGTAATGATATTACTTCATTGTCTATGGTGCCTTTTAGCAGGATGTAGTTTCCTTCCTTATCTCTTTTGATTAGATCTATTTTTGCTTTTGCTTTGTCTGAGATCAGGATTGCTACCCCTGCTTTTTTTACTTCAGCTGAAGCATAATATATTCTGCTCCAGCCTTTTACCTTTACCCTGTATGTGTCACTCTTTTTCAAATGTGTTTCCTGTAAACAACATATTGTAGGATTATGGTTTTTAATCCATTCTGCAATCCATTTCTTTTATGGGAGAGTTCATCCCATTCACATTCACAGTTATGATCTGTGTCTTTTTCTCCATCCTTTCCCCCCATTTATGCTTTTCTTTCTCCTTTTTCCTTTCCCCCCTTCACTAGTGTTTTGCTTTTGACCACCGCCTCCTTCAGTCCCTTCCCTTTTATTATCCCTTTCCCTTTTCTTCCCCTTTAGTCTTACTGCTTCTTCCCTTCTTTCCCCCTCCTTTTCTTTCCCCCTCCCTTTTCTTTCCCCTTTTCCCTCCTACTGCCTATAGGGCAAGTTAGATTTCTATACCTAACTGATTATGTTATGCCCTTCTTGAGCCAAATCTGATGAGAGTAAGGTTCAAACAATGCTCCCCCCCTTCTTTCCCTCTGCTGTAATAGGATTTTGTGTCTTTTCCTGTAATGTAATTTACCCTTGTCTGCCTCCTCCTTTCTCAGTACATTTTCTAAGATCAGATTGATCCACTTATTTGGATCCATTTAACCCACTTGATTAGATTTTTTTTAATCATTACATCAAAGTCAACTAATATCCACCTCTTTATGTATACTCTTTAACATGGTGTAATAACAATACAGTTCTCAAGGTTGCAAGTTCATATTTTGTAGGGTTAAACAGCCCCCCCCCTTATTAACAACATATTGTATCTTTCTGTCCCATTTACCTTTTTATGTCCTTCTTGAGTCCTGTACTTGAAGATCAAATTTTTTGTTGAGCTCTGGTCTTTTTATCAGGAAAGTTTGGAAGTCTCCTATTTCATTGAATATCCATCTCCTCCCTTGAAAAATGATGCTCATTTTTGCTGGGTAATTGATCCTTGGCTGCATTCCAAGCTCCTTTGCCTTATGGAATATCATGTTCCATGCCCTGCGGTCTTTTAATGTAGAAGCTGCAAGGTCCTGTGTAATCCTGACTGTGGTTCCATGATATTTAAATTGTTTCTTTCTGGCTGCTTGCAGCACCTTCTCTTTCATCTGGTAATTTTGGAATTTTGCTATTATATTCCTTGGCATTGTCAATTTGGGATCTCTTTCAGGTGGTGACAGGTGGATTCTTTCTATGGTTATTTTCCTTCTGGTTCTAGGACTTCGGGCAGTTTTCCTTTATGATTTCCTGAAAGATACTGTCCAGGCTCTTTTTTTCATCATGATTTTCAGGTAGTCCAATAATTTTTAAATTGTCTCTCCTGAATCGATTTTCCAGGTCGGTTGTTTTACTGATGAGGTATTTTATGTTTTCATCTATTTTTTCATTTTTTGTTTCTGTTTGACTGATTCTTGCTCTCTCATAGAGACATTAGTTTCCATTTGTCCAATTCTAGTTTTTAACAGATTGTTTTCTTCTGTTAGTTTTACTTCCTTCTTCAATTGGCCAATTGTGTTTTTTAGGGACTTGTTTTCTTCAGTGTATTTTTTTTCCAATTGGCCAATTGTATTTTTGAAGGACTCTTCTACCTCTCTCATTTGACTATTAAAATCCTTCTTGAGCTCTTCTAAGAAGGCTTTTTGGGCTTCAGACCAGTTCATATTCCCTTTTGTTGTTGCAGATGTGGGTTTGTTGACAATGTTGTCCTCTTCAGAATTTCTGTCTTGATCTTCACTCTTCTCATAATATGAATCTATGGTACGTTTCTTTTTACTCATGGTGTTTCTTTATTCCCTGGCCTTTAAAGAGATTGAGCTCTCCTGCTGGGGAACAGAGGGACTGACCCAAGCTTCTTGTGTTGGGAGCCTAGGTCTTGGTCACTGGCTTTGTGTGCTGGGGCCTCTTATGTTGGCAATTGGAGGCTGTAGGTTTCTGGCAGCTTACCTCTGTTGGGCTGGAATCAGCAAGGCTGGAACTTTCAGGCAATTCTAGGTTGCCTGCTTTTCCTTTCCTTTAGCTTTCTTCAGCTCCTTTTAGATGGGTGCTGCAGGGTGTTTATCTGCCTGGGGCCCCTGCAGTGTTGTCTCCCTTTCTGCTAATGCACTGGGAGATTCCTTTGGTAGAGTGCCGAGGCACCTGGTGGTTTTCTGAGCTGGTTTCCACTGTTCCCCCCTCACTGAGGCACTCGAGGTCCAGGTGTTGGTGTTTGCCTGCTCTACCACCTGGGCTTCAGGATTTCTTCACTGGTGTCTGACAGCTACCTGGTGTTGGGTGGAATCAGCAAGGCTGGGCTTTAGGAAGCTTTAGGTTGTTTCTTCTCCTTTCAGATGAATGCTGCAGGGTACTTATCGCCTGGGGCCCCTTGCAGTGTTGCTTCCCTATTTTTGTTGAGGCACTGGGAGACCTGTTTGCTGGGCTGCTGCGCTGCTGCTCCCCATTTTTCTTCCAGTTCAGCTCTTCCAGGGTTTTTTTCTGGTGTGACATTTTCTGGGTTTTCAGAGGTTGATAGGGGACAGTGAGAGCAACTACCTTTTCACTCTGCTATCTTGGTTCCTGGAAGCTGAACCCCATATCAAAAAATTTTTGTAAAAAAATTCAAGGGTAGTCAGCTTTCTTGCTCTGCTATAATAGCACAACTCTATTTTTTAGTGTTAAATTCCCCACTGCATTTCTTTTCTCTACTTGTTGGCTTGACTGACATTCTCATGTGCGTTTTTTGGTGATTCATTTATTTATTTTTGGCTAGGCAATAGGGTTGAGTGACTTGCCCAGGGTCACACAGCTAGTGAGTGTTTTGTGTCTGAGGCTGAATTTGAACTCAGGTCCTCTTGAGTCCAGGGCTGGTGCTCTATTCACTGCACCATCTAGCTGCCCCATGATTTGTTAAAAAAGCAATGACTTGAGTACCCCGTGTATAGAATGTTCAGACTTTCCAATCTTGATCATGGTTTTTCTTAAACAAAAAATTGTTGAAGAAAAGACAATTTTAATAGTAGGATACAGATTCATATTCAGTGAACTGTTAAAAAAAATTGTTGTGCTTACATCATTTAACTTGTTCTTTTTCCCCATAGGTCATTGGTTTTTTGTTTTTGTTTTTTTTTAAATTTTCACACATATTTTATTTTCTATCAGTTTCTATTGACATCTTTTGATTTTATATCACCTACATTTTCTAGTTTTCCCCTCTCCGATTCTCCCAGATTCTCCCAGAAAATCACTCCTTATAGCAGAGAATGAAGAAGAGAGAAAAACAAAACAAGAGAAAATACACAACATACTGAACAAGTTTGACATTATCCTCTCCACGCATAGTCTTTGTATCACTCCAAAGGGGGAAGGAGGGGCAGTCCAATGTCACTGAAAGAAATGTAGCTGGATGGACGTGATGCCAATTTAAAGTTTCTGGTTTTTCTTTTAAAAATAGGCTCTGGAACTTTGTTTTTAGAGCCCGATCTGATAATGCTATTTCTTGCTTTTTTTAAAAAAAATTTATTAATTTATTTTGGTTTATCAATAATCACTTCCATATGCTTTTGAGTTTAAAATTTTTCTACCCCTTCATCCCCACCACCCTCCCCAAGACGGCGCACAATCTGATATAGGCTATACATTTACATTCCTATTAAACTTATTTTCACATTAGTGAAGTTGTAAGTAAAAATTAAAACCAATAGGAGGAACCATCAGAAAGAGGAAATAAAACTCAACAGAAGAGGAAAAAAAATAGCAATTCAACTTCCATAGTTCTTTCTTTGGATGTGGATAGCATTTTCCATCACAAGGCCTTTGGAGATGTCTAAGATCCTTGTATTGCTGAGAAGGGTTAAGTTTATCAGTATTAGTCATCACACAACATGGCTGTTATCGTGTACAACATTCTCTTGGTTCTGCTCACTTCACTCAGCATCAGACCATACAAGTCTTTCCATGTTTTTATGAATGTCATTGTGAATGTTTTTGTGAATTTCTTATAGCACAATAGTATTCCATTACATTCATTTACCACGACTTGCTCAGCCATTCCCCAATTGATGGGCATCCTCTCAATTTCGAATTCTTTGCCACCACAAAAAGAGCTGCTATGAATATTTTTGTATATGTGGGTCTTCCTATAGGTCATTGTTGATGGAAATATAACATTACAGACCTTTTTTTTCCCTTAGAAAATTGTGTCAGACCCTTTGTATCTAACTTCTGTGCCTTTCTCTCCCTAGCTGAAACTGAACCTCATGAAGGAAAGAGGAAAGTAGAATCTCTCTGGCCCATCTTCAGGATTCATCACCAGAAAACGAGATACATATTTGACCTCTTTTATAAGAGGAAAGCCATAAGCAGAGGTAATCAATTGAATAGGATCTTAGGCTTTTTGGTGTCTTGTTCTTTTCTTAGAGGAAGAAATCCTAATTTCACGTTTAAACTCCAAGACTAATTAGATAATGGATGTCACTCCTGAAGCCTTAGCAAGTTTCATTTTTTTTTCCTGATCACTAATCAACAAAAATATATTGGTAAAATGTACTTTCCTTCCCTTTCTCCCTCCACACCTTATTGAAGGATGGTGAAGGAGAGTTTATATTGGACACATACCTAATGTTTTTTTCCTCTTTCTGACAGAATTGTATGAGTACTGCATTAAAGAAGGTTATGCAGATAAGAACTTGATTGCCAAGTGGAAAAAACAAGGTTACGAAAATCTGTGCTGCCTCCGTTGCATCCAGACTCGGGATACTAATTTTGGAACCAATTGTATATGTAGGGTTCCAAAGAGCAAGTTAGAAGTGGTAAGCTTTTTCCTGCTGGTACTTCTGTGCAGCCAGAGAGCTAAATTTCTAAGACAATTCTGAATTTTATTTTGTATAGATTAATAATGTTTCTTAGTATTCTGATAACCACTTGGGATTCATTATCTTTTTTATGTAGATTTTGATTGTAATGGTATTCATTTTGGGTTTTAGTTCTCACTTATGGTCTTCTGGCTCTTTCCTTTAATGTGGCCATTTTCCTAATGGTTGTCTCATGTGTCCTCTTTTTGTATTTTGATGCATGAGATGGGCAGGATTTGGGGGATACCTAGGGATAATGGTGAAAAGATGCCTGAGTGTTTTAAATCCTTATGGTTCAGTCCAATCCCCCATGAAAACAAGATCTGCAGAACTGAGTTAGCTGTTACTTGAATTAGGCTTTGTTTAGGATTAAATTTTGCCTTCCTTTTTACTTAAGTCAGAAAAGTGGTGAGTGTCTGACTTCTTAAACATACTAATAATAGAATATCATTTGGAATATCTAATTCATTTATGACATGCAAGATTCTTACTAATAATAGAGATCAGGGAGTATAGGAATTATACCATGGCTGAAGTCTTTATGTAAACCTGGTTTTTTTTCACAGGAAGGATTAATTTGTATTATGAGCTCTTTTACATAAATTCGGGAAAAGCCTGTCCTTGGCCATGTCATTCCATACCATTACAAGGTTTAAAAACTTGAATTCAACTTAATTTTTATTCTTTGGATCTTTGAAACCATACAAAGAAGTTTAGAGAAACTTCTCTCCTTCATGGTATTCGTTCACTAATATTATGAATCCATTAGGTCAAGTTGTGATAGAATCAGTTTTTATATTGCATCCATCAGAATAAATTACCTCCTGCCTCAGTGTCATCCAGGATATGTCACAGCCTGCCTTGTTTTACAGGGGCGGATCATTGAGTGTACCCACTGTGGCTGCCGAGGATGCTCTGGTTGATGGGTCTTGAAGCGATGGACCCACAGATTCTATTTCTGGCTTATTTTTATTGTTCATCTCCATGAGTAGCTGTTAAAAGTGAACACTTTCCCCTGGATAACTCTTGCTTTCCAAAGCTACAACCTGTGATTGGAGCATGGTGGCAAATGAAAGACTGTTAATCAATTGTAATTATTTGTGATTTAAAAATAAAACCTTTAACCATTGGTAACTCATGCTGTAGTTTGTGTACAAGAGGATATTATTAAAATATAGACAAGATTTTCCTCATCATGCCACTAAAACTCATATATATGTATATATATATACATATATATGTATATATATACATATATATGTGTATATATATATATATACACACACACATATATATATTGATTCTTTTTATACATGTAAAAAGAGTTATATAAAACTTCGTTTTTTCCTCATGGCCCTATAGGATTATCCCTAATGCAAGTATTATCTCCATTTTACAGATGAGGAAACAGGTTCACAGAATTAAGAGTTGGAAGAGACTTTAGAGGCTCTTCTAATCCACTCCCTGATGTGCACAGCTGGCATCTGAGGTGGGATTTCAACTTGGATATGCCTGGCTCCAAGGCCAGTTTCCTATTGTGTTATAGAGCTTCTGATATAAATAGGAAGAATTCAGGAAGGGTTAATTAAGTGCCTTGCCAGGGAACTAATAAGTGAAAGGCAACACTCAAACTCGTGTCTTTTGACTCTTAAGATAAGAGCTCGTGGGGCAGCTAGGTGGCTCAGTGAATAGAGCACCAGCCCTGGATTCAGGAGGACCTGAGTTCAAATCCGGCCTCAGACACATTAACACTTACTAGCTGTGTGACCTGGGCAAGTCACTTAACCCCATTGCCTAACCAAAAAACAAAAACCACATGCCATCCTTTCAAATACCTGGAGATGACATCACGTGGTTTTCTTCACCCAGGTCTCCATGCTAAATATTCCAACTCCCTCTTATCTGAACATGATGCCCATCACCATCCTGGCTGCCCTCTGGACTTTATTTTCTTGGTGCACTGTTCCAAAAACTGGTAAAGACAGCCTTGAAAGGCCAGTAATTCAGGAAACAAAAGTTGGTACAACCAGCTGGTATGTAATAAAGTCTATTGAAAGCTCTCTGAAACACAGTAGTACTGCTAATGCAGTAAGACCCCAGCTATATTCTGGTCAGTAATCAGACACTTGAACTCATGCTGCTTCCACTTCTTTACGTCTCCTTTGTGGATAACTAACCATCTAACGATCTGGGATTTCTAGGTTTTTGAAGTATGTCCCAAAGTTGGTCTACACTGTCATTCCTCTGAAGAAGATGATCATAATGTCTCTTCTTCCTGGCCTCCCATGCCTTCGGCTGCCTTAGTCTCCTCTTCGCTAACTTCGTCACTCTTAGGTTTTGTCCTATATTTCTGCCAGGGATGAGGAATGTTTTCTGCAGGCATCACTTTCAGCCACTGCTTGTAGTAAGCTCGAAAACCATCGATCTTTTCCAAGTAGAAATTCTTCTCTTTGTACTGTAATTGAGAAATCCAGTTACATGAAATTTAAGAGTAGAGATAAAGTAGCTTCCATGAATGAAATACTGAGGGAGAAATTCATAGGCGAGTTGAGAAATGGTCTCTTATTAAAGCTTGTTACATATAGTTTCAGTTAATAGAAAAAAAAGGTAGACTGTGTGGAGGGTTTCTGGTGAGGAATGGAAGACATTAAGATCATGACTCAATGTTTTACCACAGAAGTGGCCTGATATTATGTAAATATATAATGACAACTTATATTTTTCATAGTGCTTTGAGGTTATAATTGCTTCACGTATATTAACTGGTTTTTACAACCCTGCAACGTAGGTTGGACAGGTATCATCCCCATTTTACTGATGAAGAAACCAGTTCAGAGAGGGGAAGCTGCCCCTCCCTAAAGTGTGCCGTGGGGGATAGATTTCTTTAACACTTTTACTGTGGCATTGACAAAAGGCCTTCTCTAAGGAGCACAGGTAAAGTATTCCTGTTCTGTAGTTGGCTGCAAGGGTTGGAAGACCTGGGTTCTATATAAGCTCTACCATTGTGACCCTGGGTGGTTCATATGTAACTCCAGAACTGAGCTTCTACACTTTGTAAAATCCCTGTAGCTGAACAAGTCAGTCTCTAAATCTATACCACATAATGCTATGGTTTCTAGAAAATACAGCCATCACCACTCAGAGTTCTGGGAGAACACTAAGGATCAGAAACTGCTCTGGCATCAAAGATGCAGATAGCTTTATAGGTTCTTATATATAAAGAGAAAGCTATGCAAAACTTATTTGCACACTAATTTAACTGTTCTGTTTGCAAAGGATTCTTCCTTGGCTACCCGTCAGTCCTCTCATTGGAGGACTTGTGTCACATCCAAGAGGAGATACTTAAAAATTATTAACAATTAGTAATATGGCTGATACTAGCTTAGGAATTAGAAACTGAAAGGATCTGATAAAAGGGGACACCATCAGACTACGTATTACTGTAGGCATCCTCACATGGGATAAATTTAACAGGAGAGGGTTGAGTTGAATATGGATTTTACCATCCTCCACCCTTCTTTTTTTTTTTTTAATATGCACCTGGCTCTAAAAGAATTTGCCACTTCATTTCCAGGACATAACTTTTCTTTAAGACCTAAGATAAATACATACCCTGTCAAATGTAGGAGGATACGTAGCTGCAAACTCCAGCTGTCGGATGGTGACTTCATTCACTGGGACCTTGTTCTTCTTCATGTCCTGAAGGATGTTTATGAGATAAGTATAGTCCAGCTTCTTCACAGCTGCATTGATGAGGGTGCTGTAGATGTGGATGTTGGGGATCATCCTGCATTTCTGAAACAGCCACAGATATTAAATAAGCAATCTCCACCAGGGCTTATTGAGGCTAGCAGTACAGAGCATTCTGATGTGTTCCCAAGGGTTAGATTTGAAGGAAGTATGGATTAAGTCAATCTGTCAATTATGTCACCTGTTGAGATCTCAGGTCAGAGAGAACCAGTGTGTCAGAAGCTTATACAAAGACATCAAGTTGTGCTACTGTTCCTTGAAATAAATACGGGGCCACTCGTAGTAAGCTCGAAAACCGTCGAACACTCGAAGGGAATTCTTGCTGGTGGGGTAATTCCTAGAACAGGCCCATGGCTATTTTCTGGAGGCACCAAGTAGACCAGCCCTTCAGAGAAAAAGGCAATTTTTGACTTTGTACACAAATGCAGCCATGGTGATACGCTCAGGGTGCATGCATGTATGTGTGTGTGTTTGAATGAAATGGGTAGTAAAGGGATTTGTGTCTTTTCTCTTGGGAAATTTGGGTTCCATGAATATTCTCAGTTATGGCTTCTCGTAGAGCCAAGATGGTGGAATAAGGAAGGAAGTCACCTGAACTCTTCCAAATGCACCTCCAAACAACTATAAGTCAGTGTCTCAAAATAAATTCTGGAGTGGCAGAACCAACAAAAGGATGGGGTGAAACAATCTTGCAGCCCAAGACAACTTAGGAGGTTGGCAGGAAAAGTTGTGTCTCACTGGTGTAAAAGGGGAGCCCAGCCCAGTGCAGGCACCTATCCGGGCAAGCCACCAGCCAAGCCCTAAGCCCTGGTGAGACCCTGTGGCCCCTGGCCCCTAATGCTGCCCAGCAGTGAGATGCCCAAAGGACTATACAACTGTGCATACCCTTTGATCCAGTAGTACCACTACTTGGTGTGTATCCAAGAGAGATCCAAAAAAGGGGGGAAAGTCTTATTTGTGCAAAAATATTTACAGTAGCTCTTTTTGTGGTGGCAAAGAATTGGAAATTGAGGAGATGTCCATCAACTGAGGAGTGGCTGAACAAGCTGTGGTGTATGACTGTAATGGAATATTATTGTGTTATAAGAAATGGTGAGCAGGATGATTTCAGAAAAACCTGGGAAGACTTAAATGAATTGATGCAAAGTGAAATGAACAGAACCAGGAGAACGCAGTAAGCAGTAACAGCAACGCTTATGATGATCAACTGTGAATGACTTAGCTATTCTCAGCAATGCAATGATCCAAGATAATTCCAAATTATGAAAAATACTATCCACTTCTAAAGAAGTAACTGATGGAATCTGAATGCAGATCAAAGCATACTATTTTTCACTGTTTTTGGGGGGGAGGGGTGGGGGGGTGTCTGTTTTCTTTCACAACATGATTAATATGTAAATGTTTTGCATCACTGCACATGTATAACCACTATCAAATTGATGACTGTCTCAGGGTGGGAAGGAAGAGAGAAAATTTAAAACTCAAAATTAAAAACAAAACGTTAAACATTTTTACATATAATTGGGAAAAATAATAAAATATTACTAAAAAAGAAAAGAAAAGAAAAATATTCCTGGTTATGCCTATCTGGAGTAGTGAGAGATCAGGGTAATACAACCACCAGGGAATAGGTGGGGACAGGATGAGTGAGATAAGTTGTCTCCAGGCCTGGCTATATTCTGTAAGCCTGATGCACCCACTTAAGAACTCCTTCCTTCTTTAAGGGTGTTGCCTCCCTAGTGAGAACTTTATTACCAAATGGTCATCCTCAAGCAACTAACCAAGCCTTTGTTTAAGAAACTAATGAAATTCCACCTCTTCCATCGAATAATAATGTACCCTGACAAATGAGAGGTGAGGACTACTCTTTCTAAACTGGAAACAATGCATAATGCAATGGAGAGACAACGTGGTGTAGGTGAAAGTGTGCTGGATTTACAGTCAGAGGACCTGGGGTATGAATGTGAGCCGGGCCACTTAACTAGCTGTATGATTTCGGACAAGGTCTTCAGTTTCCTCATCTGTAAAATGAGGGCATTGGACCAGATAATCTCCAAAGTCTCTTCAAGCTTTAAATCTATGCTCTCATGATCCATTTATAACCTCAGCCTGAAATAATATGTTACAATTTTCTAATTTCATAGAATAGGGACTAGACTTATGAATTCACTGATGGAATGAACTTTTTATATGAGGAAGTCCCAATTCAGGGTAGCATCTTCTCTATATCTTACTGTCTTATGGCAGGGGTTTTTAACCTGGAGTCTACAGACTTGCAAGGAGTCTGTGGATAGATTTCAGAAGGGAGTCCACAAACTTGGGGGGGGGGGGAATTATACATTTTTCTTTCAATGTAACTGGTTTACTTTTAATCCTATGAATTTTACT